GCGGTGAAGTTGTCCTATCCCCTTAGCAGAAAAACACCCCAAAGCATAATGTTTCCAACTCCATGTTTGACGGTGGGGATGGTGTTCTTGGGGTCATATGCAGCATTCCTCCTCCTCCAAACACGACAAGTTGAGTTGATGCCAAAGAGCTCGATTTTGGTCTTATCTGACCACAACACTTTCACCCAGTTCTCCTCTGAATTATTCAGATGTTCATTGGCAAACTTCAGACGGGTCTGTATATGTGCTTTCTTGAGCAGGGGGACCTTGCGGGCACTGCAGGATTTCTGTCCTTCACGGCGTAGTGGGTTACCAATTGTTTTCTTGGTGACTATGGTCCCAGCTGCCTTGAGATCATTGACAAGATCCTCCCGTGTAGTTATGGGCTGATTCCTCACCGTTCTCATGATCATTGCAACTCCACGAGGTGAGATCTTGCATGGAGCCCCAGGCCGAGGGAGATTGACAGTTCTTTTGTGTTTCTTCCATTTGCGAATAATCGCACCAACTGTTGTCACCTTCTCACCAAGCTGCTTGGCGATGGTCTTGTAGCCCATTCCAGCCTTGTGTAGGTCTACAATCTTGTCCCTGACATCCTTGGAGAGCTCTTTGGTCTTGGCCATGGTGGAGAGTTTGGAATCTGATTGATTGATTGCTTCTGTGGACAGGTGTCTTTTATACAAGTAACAAGATGAGATTAGGAGCACACCCTTTAAGAGTGTGCTCCTAATCTCAGCTAGTTACTTGTATAAAAGACCCCTGGGAGCCAGAAATCTGTCTCTCACTGATAAAATAACCTACCATTAAAATTATAGACTGACCATGTCTTTGTCAGTGGGCAAACGTACAAAATCAGCAGGGGATCAAATACTTTTTTCCCTCACTGTACATAATTTGATCAAGCTATGTAGCCAGGCATTTTTTAAATATTTTTTTATAGAATTAGGCATTATGATTATGGCTCTAGATTTCAGGAAAAAGCTGTTTCAGGTGTTTGAAAAATGCAAAATCCTCTGAATTCCAGACTCCCCCCCCCCCCCTCTCCATCCTCATGTACTTTGTGCCACCTTTAAAATAATGGGTGCATGATGCCCCTGGGAATAGGTCATGCCTTTAATTAAATAACAGAAAACAAATCATTCAGTCGACATTCATTCCAGTCTTAAGACTATGGCGATATTGTCTATATGTATTGAAGCCACTGGACGCTGTTTATCATAGTGCATTACGCTTTATTACAGGCGATTGTTTCAGCACATATCACTGCACTCTGTATCAGAAAGAAGGCTGTGTGAGGACCTTTTTAAAGAAGAATGTTTGTTCCTTATGATTCTATGCTTGGTCTTATGTTTTAGCTTTCCTATTGTGTTTGTTTTTTTGCTTGCTTATATATTTTATATGTTAACTATGTATTTTTAATATGTTTAGTAATTTTCCCCAGGTTGTTGCTGTAAATGAGAATGTATTTTCAGTCAACTCACCTTGTAAAATAAGGAATAAATAAAACATTAAAATAAGACGATTTCTGCAATTCTGGGTGAACAAATGTGAGGCAAGGGAATCTGTTTTGTATTGGCTCAAGGTCTTAATTGTTTTATTTTTTTGTACATTGTTTTGGAGAAACACAGGACATTGCATTCATAGACAAAACTACTGATACACCTCTGGTGTGTAATAACACATTGAAACAAACACATGCACTTTTCCCCTCAGGATGCCATACTGATCATTTTTACACGTCTTCATTTAAAAAAAAAATATTTAGTGTTTTTATTATTTTCTTTTAAATTGAATGTAGATTTGAAATGTATGTAGAATTAAAATGTACTTTTTATTATGACATGAACAATTATGGTTAGAGTAGGTTTAGGGTAAGAGTTAAGGTTAGGGTTATGGTTAAATTTAAGATAAGGGTTAAGGAGAGGGAGAGGGTTAAGGTTAGTGGATAGTAGAAATGTTGTTGACAGTTAGTTGAACATCTACAAACCATCTATTTGGGACTGTCCAAATAAAGTGTTAGCATTTAATCTATACAGTCTATGGTATAACCCTACTGCAGTTCAAGATCTTATTAGACAAGGCAAGCCGCTCTCTTCAATCACCCTGGTCACATGACATGACGCCTTCAGCTATTGAGGAAGACCGACATGATGCAAGAAAACATTTTATGTATAAGGCCACTCAGGAACATTCAATGTCATCTTGGTAAGCAACTCCTTGTGTTTTAGGTTATTGTCTTGCTGAAAGGTGAATTTGTCTTCTAGTGTCTGTTGGAAAGCAGACTGAACCAGGTTTTCCTCTAGGATTTTGTCTGTGCTTAGCTTTATTCTGTTTATTTTTATCCTAGAAAAAACTCCCTAGTCCTTGCCGATAACAAGCATACCCATAACATGATGCAGCCACCACCATGCTTGAAAATATGAAGAGTGGCACTCATTGATGAGCTGTGTTGGATTTGCCCCAAACATAACGCTTGGTATTCAGGACATAAAGTTAATATCTTTGCCACATTTTTTCATTTTTTTGCAGTTTTACTTTAGTGCCTTATTGCAAATAGGATGCATTTTTTATATATTTTTTTTATTCTGTACAGGCTTCCCTCTTTTCACTCTGTCATTTTGGTTAGTATTGTGGAGTAACTACAATGTTGTTGATCCAACCTCAGTTTTCTCCTATCACAGCCATTAAACTCTGTAACCGTTTTAAAGTCACCATTGGCCTCATGGTGAAATCCCTGAGCTGTTTCCTTCCTCTCCGGCAGGACGCCTCTTTGTAGTGACTGGGTGTATTGATACACCATCCAAAGTGTAATTAATAACTTCACCATGCTCAAAGAGATATTCAATGTCTGCTTTTTTTATTTGTACCCATCTACCAATAGGTGCCCCTGGTCTTTGTGGTCGAATCTGTGTTTGAAACTCACTGCTTGACTGAGGGACCTTACAGATAATTGTATGTGTGGGGTACAGAGATTAGGTAGTCATTCAAAAATCATGTTAAACATTATTATTACAAACCGAGTGAGTCCATGAAACGTATTATGTGACTTAAGCAAATTTTTACTCCTGAACTTATTTAGGCTTGCCATAACAAAGGGATTGAATACTTATTGACACAAGACTGTTCAGCTTTTCATTTTTTATTAATTTGTAATAATAAAAACTTAATTCCACTTTGACATTATGGGGTATTGTGGGTAGGCCAGTGACACAAAATCTCAATGTAATAAATTCTAAATTCAGGCTGTAACACAACAAAATGTGGAAAAGGTCAAGGGATGTGAATACTTTCTGAAGGCACTGTACGTATCATCTCCATCTTTTCATTCAGATTTCATGTCTCATAATAATAATCATCATAATCATCATCATCATCACAATGAAGCTTACTCAACCACTGAATAATTTAAACAAATTCAAAACCTTCCATAGTCTAGCCTGTCAAGTTCCTTTTGCCACAGTTCACCTGTTCACCTGTTTGAAAGAACTCATGTAGGCCTACACTAAATTGAAAAGGAGACATCCCTCATAGTGTGAAAGAACAAATACTTTTATTGACTGTGTGCTCATTCATTCTCCTCGGCTGTCTTCAGGCTCATTCTTTACTAATGGGATACTAGCTGAGGATCCCTTGTGGTGTGCCCAGGTTAAAGGTGCAGCTAGGAACTTTTGTTCCTAGGGTGAAAGTCTATGATCAGGACCCACACTTGACCCGTCAGCGCACTTACAGTACCATCACTAAAACTGTACACACCCAAAGCACATGAGACAGACACAGCACACGAGACACACGATAAAGACCCTAGTCTCAACCCATCCTTTTTCATCTACATACTGTAAAAGAGTATCAATGTATTTCTGAGAATACTGTACTCTATGTAATACAAGAAATCCAAAGGCTCCTGGTTAGCCGCTTGCCTTAACCCCTGTCCTCTCTATCTGCACCTCTACGAGTCACCATATGCAGCCTGCCACTCACAGAGCTAAGAAGTCAGCAGCCCTATATACATAAATACCAACCGTATTTCAGGCTGGCCTCCCCATTGTGCTGGTATCTGGGACCTCAACATGTATGCCCATGATGAACTCAAACCCCAGAAGGCATTGGCATAATGATGGACTTGAGGCCCAAGCAAGGTCAAGGCTTCAGGAATTGTGTTTTTAGTTTTATGTTCCATATTTTTCCAGAGGCAGACTTAGCTCTATGTTTCACCAGTTTCTAATGTAATGGGCCCCCACCGACTGATTCTGAACGCAAATCTGATGATTAAACTACTTTATAGGGCGTATACACTGTATAATTGCCTGAAATGAAACACTTATGAAATAGGTATTTTTTAATTGTGGGATAATAATCATAGCAGTTAATGTACAAGGAGAAAATTGCCCTTTTGAGGGTCCTCACCTGTTGAAATGTGTTAAATGGATCTGTGAGATCCATGTAAAGGTTGGGTCCCCAAGATAGTATATGAAGACTTCATAAGCCATGAATACAATATTTTGAATTACAGGAAATTAGCTTTAAAACAGCAACATTTTCTCTGTCTAATGGCAAAATTTGTAAAATAGCATGAGATTAGCTATAAAACTGCAATTTTTTATCTCTGCCCCATTGCAAAAAAAAATACACCCCCCCCGACCCTCCCCCCAAAAAAGATATTTGTTCTGTGTAGCTCTGCTGAAACATCAATCTCTTCCATCCCTGCTAAATGGATCACATACCTGCAGGCATTCTTTTGGACCATGTCCAATAAGTTAGTCACACTAAGTGTGCAGCTCTCAAATATCAAGATCCCGTGCTAGCTAATGAATTACTTGTCAGCCCACATGTCTTTGGGTCCCCCCTCAGGCAGATGCAGCTGTCATCTTGACAGTGCTGTTATCCATAAAAGCTCCAGCAGCAGCAGCAGACAATTGCACCAACTACTGACCTCCAGGCAGGAACTCAACTGACTCCACCAGCAGAACTTGCCTCCCGACCCTTTCTCTCTCACTCGCAGGATGGCAGCTCCTCTCTCTGCAGGCAAGCATGAGGCTCTCCCAGGGCCGGTGCAGGACACCCAACAGAGTGTGAAGGAGCGTGGCCAATGGGATAGCAAAATGGAGTTTATTCTAACTGTGGCTGGCGCTATTATTGGTCTTGGAAATATATGGAGATTTCCCTATCTTTGTTACAAGAACGGTGGGGGTGAGTCAACAAAGTCTTATTTTTGCTTGTGAAAACACTGTAAATATGGTCTCCAGCACTGTCTTAATTGTTTTATTCCCATGACTAACAGTCACAGTTTTTTAATTTGTGACTCACAGGCAAGTCCTAAATGTCTTGTCATGTTGTACCTAAATATCTTTCAGTGTCACATCAGAGAACTTGAACATTTACCCAAAATATATTTTATCTTATTTTATATTTTTCACTGAATTGCATATTGTGTATGTTATTTAAGCAATAAGGCCCGAGGGGGTGTGCTGTATGGCTGTCACGATCGTTAGACGAAGTAGACCAAGGCGCAGCGTGATGAATGAACATATTTAATCTTAATTATCTTTAGTGATAATACGAACAACAAACGATACGTGCAGTCCTACGGTTAAACACACGGAACAAACCAAACGGAACAAGATCCCACAACGACTGTGGGTAAACTGGCTGTTTAAATGTGGTTCCCAATCAGAGACAACCAGCCACAGCTGACACTCGTTGCCTCTGATTGAGAACCACACTGGCCAACATAGAAATAGCACCCATAGAATTTACACCATAGAACATAAACACATATAATTTACACACCCTGGCTCAACATATAGAGTCCCCAGAGCCAGGGTGTGACAATGGCTAATATACCACGGCTAAGGGCTGTTCTTAGGCACGACACAAACAGAAAACCCCTGAGGTGCTTTATTGCTATTATAACAGTAAAACAAACGTTTTTGTCATACCTGTGGTATACGGTCTTTAATACCACGGCTGTCAGCGAATCAGCATTCAGGGCTAAAACAACCAATTTTATAATACAGTTTATAATACAGTATATACTACAGGCTTAACTTGTGTGTCATTATATAATAGATACTAGAAAATATCATGTTGTATAACACATTCCATTCCTAATAACATTACATCCAAGTTTGCAATAAAAAGTTGGGTTGTGAGAGCATAATTATGATATTATGATGATGAAATTATCCTGTCCTATTCCACTTTTTTCTCTCTCTTGTTTACAAATGCATGGTTGATTTGTTCCCTGGTCAGGTGTTAAATCAGGCAAAAAGAGGAAAGAGGAGGATTGGTTTTTTGTTTAGCTGATATAAAGCTCCTTGAAATGACACAAAGAAACAAATCTGCATCCAAATACTTTAGGGGAACCCCCTGCAAACTGTGTGAACCCAGATGCCCCCATGATCATTGTGCTGGTTTCTCATTCCCATCACTTTGAGATAAATAAGTACACATTCATTCACCTTGCATGGTCACAATTTAAAATAATATTGATGATTGTTGAATGATACAGAGGAGTTATACCTTTCCATAATTTTCCACACTGCACTTTCAGCGGTGTGCTTGGTTTACACAGTAGATTTAGATATCAGTGGCGTGATCTGTTCAGGATTGACGGAGGTTGAACCTGGCTGAGAGGTCATCTGTCGCAGGCAATGGGAATGTGATTACTAAAACCGGGTATATTATGAGAGCCACATTGAGGGTGTGATCCACGAGAGCCAGATCAAAATGGCATTGTTCAGATGTATAATGATGAAAGATACAGAGAACTATGTATGCTGTCAGTGTCAACTAATCTCGGCACCCAGAACCAAATCAGCTATATTAAGGCTGTCACGAGATTTGTGTCAACTAAAGTTTAAAGTTTGAAAATAGATGAACACTAAGCATTGAATGGAGGCCTAATATATATGACTCCTGCCTGAACTATAGGGGCATTCTTCATCCCATACATCCTGTACCTGGTGACCTGTGGCATCCCTCTGTTCATCCTGGAGACTGCTCTGGGCCAGTACACCAGCCAGGGGGGCATCACCTGCTGGAGAAAGATCTGCCCGCTGTTTGAGGGTGAGTTTTTCTGTACAGTTCTGTGCACTTAAGTTAAAAGTTACTTTTTCAAATGCCTTTGCTGCAGCACAGGTAAGCTACATTGTTATCATTGTGACAAACTCTCTGGTAGGATGAGCCTTTATTTTCTGTTTCACAGATAACGTCATAATGTTACAGCACAGAGAAGTTAAAAGATGATGGTACATCTATGTATAGTTGAAACGTTTTTTAAGTAAAATAAGGCACACAGCAATGAAGAGTAGAGTGAGACTGAGAGTAGAGTGAGTAAGCCCTATGATAGGGTGTGTGTTCGTTATTCGTGGTGAGACACAAAGAAAAAAATTGGTTTGTGATCTTCATTCATTAAGATTTCTGTGCAGTTATATAGGGTCCCTTTCATTCTGAGAATATGTTTAAAACACCAACTCATATATCTAACTCATATTACAACAGTGTCCCTTTCTGAAGACCCAGTCTGCATTACATTTTTATAAAAAATGTTGAATGAATAATAATATATGCCATTTAGCAGACCCTTGGAATTGAACCCATGACCCTGGCATTGCTAGAGCCACACTATTACCAACTGAGTCTGAGTCACAGCTGAAGCAAGCACACTAACTTTCAAGGAATAAAAAAGTTATAAAAAAAAAAATGCAAATCAAACAGTGTTCAGAAAGGGCTACTTATAACATAAATTGATTTGGATTTTAGACATATTTTCAGAATGACTGGGGCCCTGTGGTAAATCTGACTCAACTATAGCCAAGGTAAATGGGAGAATCATGTTAGGTTGTTGATTTTTATGAGCATGTTGATATGTTTCTCTTCTTGTCTTCATCAGGAATGGGCTATGCCGCCCAAGTGATTACTATATATGGATGTATGACCTACATTGTGATTTTGGCATGGGCTTTCCTCTACCTGTTCTCATCCTTCACTGCTGACCTGCCATGGGCCAACTGCAACAATGCCTGGAACACAGGTATTTACAGTACTGGTGACTCGACTGAAACTTGGTGCAGAGGCAGACTGCTATATTTCATAGGTTTCAATTGAAACAGGCCCCAGCTGCCCAGTGGGCCCCCACTGACTGCAAAAAACAACAACGTTATATGGTCTATATATTTAATAATCTCTTGAAATTAAAAACATATGAAATCAATATTTTCAGTTAATAATAATAATAATCATTGCAGGTAATGTCCGTGGGAAAATTTCCCTTTTGGGGGCAATCAAACAGTGTATTCGATAATCGTTGCAGAAGCAACTACCTTAAATAATGATAAATAAACTGGATGATCTACGATTAAGACTATCCTACCAACGGGATATTAAAAACTGTAATATCGTATGTTTCACGAGTCGAGGCTGAATGACGACACAGATAATATAGAGCTGGCTGGGTTTTCCGTGCATCGGCAGGACAGAGCAACTATGTCTGGTAAGATGAGGGGCGGGGGTGTGTGTCTATTTGTCAATAACAGCTGGGGCGCGATGTCTAATATTAAAGAAGTCTCAAGGTATTGCTCGCCTGAGGTCGAGTACCTCATGATAAGCTGTAGACCACACTATCTACCAAGAGAGTTCTCATCTATATTATTCGTAGCCACCACAAACCGATGCTGGCACTAAGACCTGTGGGAGAAAGATCACGTATTTACCTAATTTGTTTAATATTTATAGTTAGCAATTAATATGCTTAACAATAGTAGAGACATTTCTTTAGTGCAAATGCTGTGCTTCTGAGAAAGGATGGTTCCCTCTAGCTCCCTGCAGCTGGTCTGGGCGTGTAGTCAAGGACATGGGATGGGGATAAACTTGAGGAACAGATAGACCTGTATTGTTTCCATTTCTTGTTGCTTCCAAGTAACCTCATCACACATTCAAGACAAAGAGCCTCAGAGTGACCACAGTTTTTCAGTTCATCCTGCCTTTACTATCTTCCAAGGGCACAGCTGTGTGGAGATATGAGTAGTAACGGAACTAACGTTATCACTTGTTTGTGCACTATGACCTGATACGCATAGCCACAACAATTACATTACATTACATTTACGTCATTTAGCAGACGCTCTTATCCAGAGCGACTTACAAATTGGTGCATTCACCCTATAAACAAGGTAGCTCCTGATCTGCTGGGTAGGGGTGGAATCAGCCATGACTAAGCATTTTTAGGTCCACTATATAAGACGTCAGCATTTCTTGTTTGTTGGTCTCTCAACGAATCACCTATGGGTGGGTCGTTGACCAGCTCCATTATTGCAATAATTAATCGATATCAAATAAAGATTGATTGTTTGAAGAAATGACAAAGTCTCTCTCACTTGATTAGAATTTCCACAACAGACCGCGCTAAACGAGCTGTATAAGGCCATAAGCAAACAAAAATATGCTCATCCAGAAGTGGCACTCCTAGTGGCCAGGGACTTTAATGCAGGAAAACTTAAATCAGTTTTACCTAATTTCTACCAGCATGTCACATGTGCAACCAGAGGGAAAAAAATCTAGACCAACTTTACTCTACACACACAGAGATGCATACAAAGCTCTCCCTCGCCCTCCATTTGGCAAATCTGACCATAATTCTATCCTCCTGATTCCTGCTTACAAGCAAAAGCGGGAAGTATGAGTAACTCACTCAATACGGAAGTGGTCAGATGACGCGGATGCTACGCTACAGGACTGTTTTGCCATCACAGACTGGAATATGTCCCGAGATTCATCCAATGACATTGAGGAGTACACCACATCAGTCACTGGCTTCATCAATAAGTGCATTGACGACGTCGTCCCCACAGTGACCCTATGTACATATCCCAACCAGAAGCCATGGATTACATTTACATTTGACATTTTAGTCATTTAGCAGACGCTCTTATCCAGAGCGACTTACAGTTAGTGAGTGCATACATTTTCATACTGGCCCACCTGGCCCCCCGTGGGAATTAAACCCACAACCCTGGCGTTGCAAGCGCCATGCTCTACCAACTGAGCTACACGGGGCCACAGGCAACATCCACACAGAGATAAAGAGCTGCCACTTTCAAGGAGCGGGACACTAATCTGGACGCTTATAAGAAATCCCGCTATGCCCTCAGACGAACCATCAAACAGGCAAAGCGTCAATACAGGACTAAGATTGAATCCTACTACACTGTCTCTGATGCTCGTTGGACATGGCAGGGCTTGCAAACTATTACGGACTACAAAGGGAAACCCAGCCGCTAACTGTCCAGTGATGTGAACCTACCAGACGAGCTAAATACCTTCTATGCTCGCTTCGAGGCAAGCAACACTGAACCATGCATGAGAGCACCAGCTGTTCCGGACGACTGTGTGATCACGCTCTCCGTAGCCGATGTGAGCAAGACCTTTAAACAGGTCAACATTCACAAAGCTGCGTGGCCCGACGGATTACCAGGACGTATACTCAAAGCATGCGAGGACCAACTGGCAAGTGTCTTCACTGACATTTTCAACCTCTCCCTGACCGAGTCTGTAATACCTACATGTTTCAAGCAGACCACCATAGTCCCTGTGCTCAAGAAAGCGAAGGTAACCTGCCTAAATGATTACCGCCCGTAGCACTCACGGGCGGTGGCCATGAAGTGCTTTGAAAGGCTGGTCATGGCTCACATCAACACCATCAAACCCTAGACCCACTCCAATTTGCATTCCGCCCCCAACAGATCTACAGATGACGCAATCTCAATCACACTCCACACTGCGCTTTCTCACCTGGACAAAAGGAACACCTATGTGAGAATGCTGTTCATTGACTACAGCTCAGCGTTCAACACCATAGTGCCCTCAAAGCTCATCACTAAGCTAAGGACCCTGGGACTAAACACCTCCCTCTGCAACTGGATCCCGGACTTCCTGACGGGCCGCCCCCAGGTGGTAAGGGTAGGCAACAACATGTCTGCCACGCTGATCCTCAACACTGGGGGCCCTCAGGGGTGCGTGCTTAGTCCCCTCCTGTACTCCCTGTTCACCCATGACTGCATGGCCAAGCACGACGAGTTTCAAGTTCCTTGGTGTCCACATCACCAGCGAACTATCATTGTCCAAACACACCAAGACAGTTGTGAAGAGGGCACGACAACACCTTTTCCCCCTCAGGAGACTGAAAATATTTGGCATGGGTCACCAGATCCTCAAATAGTTCTACAGCTGCACCATCGAGAGCATCCTGACTGGTTGCATCACCGCCTGGTATGGCAACTGCTCGGCATCTGACCGTAAGGCGATACAGAGGGTAGTGCATACGGCCCAGTATATCACTGGAGCTAAGCTTCCTGCCATCCAGGACCTATATACTAGGTGGTGTCAGAGGAAGCCCCAAAAAATTGTCAAACACTCCAGTCACCCAAGTTATAGACTGTTCTCTCTGCTACCGCACGGCAAGCGATACCGGAGCGCCAAGTCTAGGACCAAAAGGCTCCTTAACAGCTTCTACTCCCAAGCCATAAGACTGCTGAACAATTAATAAAATGGCCACCCGGACTATTTACATTGACCCCCCCCTCCTTTGTTTTTACACTGCTGCTACTCGCTGTTTATTATCTATGCATGGTCACTTTACCCCTACCTACATGTACAAATTACCTCGACAAACCTGTACGCCCGCACATTGACTCGGTACCGGTACCCCCTGTATATAGCCTCGTTATTGTTATTTTATTGTGTTACTTTTCATTGTATTTTTATTTATTTTTTACTTTAGTTTATTTAGTAAATATTTTCTTAACTCTATTTCTTGAACTGCATTGTTGGTTAAGGGCTTGTAAGTAAGTATTTCACGGTAAGGTCTACACCTGTTGTATTCGGCGCATGTGACAAATATAATTTTATTTTATTTGTAGTTTAGTTATTAAGCACAGGGTGCTGCCAACAAAATTCAACCAGTCTTATCCACCCAAATTTCTAAACTGCTGGCAGGCATGGTAGTTCAGTGGAGATCATGAACAGTCAGTGTATTCAGGTGAACACCTTCTGACAGTTTAAGAGAAGACAGTGAAGACAGACAAAACAGTGAGGGGAGGGGAGCTGTCTGATGTAGGCTGTTTACTAACGCTCACTACCATTTCCATCTTATACACAACCCCCCCCCACCCCGACACACATCAACGTTTTTACCTTGTCATCGGACATCTTTGCTCAGGTTGAATTAAGTACATTCAAATGTACTCTGGTCGTTCTACCAATTCGGTGCCTTTTGAGAAGTGTAACTTTGTCAAAAAAACTTTGATTTCCCCAAATTTTGGCATTCTGTCATAAAGAGCAAATGTTCAACTTCATAAAAAACATGCTTTCCCATCTCAAGAGGTTACATAAAAAAAAGGATTATAGTAAGTGCCTATTAAGTGACAAATAAATTAACAGGGTTGACTGTAACAGTGTTGATGATTTAATCTTACATCAGCCATAAATCCCCATGTGACAGGGGGAATGGAAGCTTGAGTGCAACAGGGAGTGGCATTTTTTTTGTTACATTTCTAGCTTGTCTATCTATGGGAACCTAACATATCAGGTGTAAAACGCCTGAATCTAAATACCCTACATACTGGTCTTGACAAGAAGAAAAACAACTGTCGGGGGAGGTTCTCTTCTGCACTGTGCAACGAATCCAGCAAATGTGTTGGAGGAGTTAAGTGTTGCCTTGTTAATGTTCAAAAGCTCTTGTTAATGTACACAGGCTTTCTTTCCATTTCCCCTGAAAACCGGAACATTCAGTTGTTGGGGACTCAGCAGAGGCTAATCTATGGGCAACAGGGTTGACATGTTGTGCTCGACCCGTTACAACCTGTAATTTTAAATAGATTTTTATTTGGATGTCATGTAATGGACATACACAAAATAGTCAAAATTGGTGAAGTGAAATGAAAAACATTACTTGTTTAAAAAAAATCAAAAAAATAAATAAGGGAAAAGTGGTGCTTGCAAATGTATTCACCCCCTTTGCTATGAAGCACCTAAACAAGATCTGGTTCAAACAATTACCTTCAGAAGTCACATAATTAGTTAAATAAAGTCCACCTGTGTGAAATCTAAGTGTCACATGATCTGTCACATGATCTCAGTATACACTACCGGTCAAAAGTTTTAGAACACCTACTCATTCAAGGGTTTTTATTTATTTTTACTATTTTCTACGTTGTAGAATAATAGTGAAGACATCAAAACTATGAAATAAAACATATGGAATCATGTAGAAACCGAAAAAGTGTTAAACAAATCAAAATATATTTTATATTTGAGATTCTTCAAATAGCCACCCTTTGCCTTGATGACAGCTTTGCACATTCTTGGCATTCTCTCAACCAGCTTCACCTGGAATGCTTTTCCAACAGTCTTGAATGAGTTCCCACATATGCTGAACACTTGTTGGCTGCTTTTCCTTCACTCTGCTGTCCGACTAGTCCCAAACCATCTCAATTTGGTTGAGGTTGGGGGATTGTGGAGGCCAGGTCATCTGATGCAGCACTCCATCACTCTCCTTCTTGGTCAAATAGCCCTTACACAGCCTGTAGGTGTGTTTTGGGTCATTGTCCTGTTGAAAAACAAATGATAGTCCCACTAAGCCCAAACCAGATGGGATGGCATATCACTGCAGAATGCTGTGGTAGCCATGCTGGTTAAGTGTGCCTTGAATTCTTAATAAATCACAGACAGTGTCACCAGCAAAGCAACCCCTCACCATAACACCTCTTCCTCCATGCTTTACGGTGGGAAACACATGCGGAGAGCATCCGTTCACCCACACCGCGTCTCACAAAGACACGGCGGTTGAAACCAATTTGGACTCCAGATCAAAGGACACATTTCCACCGGCCTTATGTCCATTGCTCGTGTTTCTTGGTCCAAGAAAGTCTCTTCTTCTTTTTGGTGTCCTTTAGTAGTGGTTTCTTTGCAGCAATTGTACCATGAATGCCTGATTCACACAGTCTCCTCTAAACAGTTGATGTTGAGATGTGTCTGTTACTTGAACACTGTGAAGCATTTATTTGCAATTTCTGAGGCTGATAACGCTAATGAACTTATCCCCCCCCTGCAGCAGAAGTAACTCTTGGTCTTCCTTTCCTGTGGCGGTCCTCATTAGAGCCAGTTTCATCATAGTGCTTGATGGTTTGTGCGACTGCACTTGAAGAAACTTTCAAAGTTCTTGAAATGTTCCGTATTGACTGACCTTCATGTCTTAAAGTAATGATGGACTGTCATTTCTCTTTGCTTATTTCAGCTGTTCTTGCCATAATATGGACTTGGTCTTTTACCAAATAGGGCTGTCTTCTGTATAGCCCACTACCTTGTCACAACACAACTGATTGGCTCAAACACATTAAGAAGGAAATAAATTCCACAAATTAGCTTTTAAGAAGGCACACCTGTTAATTTAAATGCATGCCAGGTGACTCCCTCATGAAGCTGGTTGAGAGAATGCCTAGAGTGTGCAAAGCTGTCATCAAGGCAAGGGTGGTTATTTAAAGAATCTCAAATATAAAATATATTTTGATTTGTTTAACACTTTTTTGGTTACTACATGATTCCATATGTGTTATTTCATAGTTTTGATGTCTTCACTATTATTCTATAATGTAGAAAATAGTAAAAATGAAGAAAAACATTTTATATACACCTGTTCTGAAAGGCCCCAGAATCTGCAACACCACTAAGCAAGGGGCACCACCTAGCAAGCGGCACCATGAAGACCAAGGAGCTCTCCAAACAGGTCAGGGACAAAGTTGTGGAGAAGTACAGATCAGGGTTGGGTTATAAAAAAATATCATAAACTTTGAACATCCCACGGAGCACCATTAAATCCAAAATTGAAAGAATATGGCACCACAACAAACCTGCCAAGACTCACGGACCAGGCAAGGAGGGAATTAATCAAAGAGGCAACAAAGAGACCAAGGATAACCCTGAAGGAACTGTAAACCTCCACAGTGGAGATTGGAGTATCTGTCCATAGGACCACTTTAAGCCGTACACTCCACAGAGCTGGGTTTTATGGAAGAGTGGCCAGAAAAAAGCCATTGCTTAAAGAAAAAAATAAGCAAACATGTTTGGTGTTCGCCAAAAGGCTTGTGGGAGACTCCCCAAACATATGGAAGAAGGTACTCTGGTCAGATTAGACAAAAATTGAGCTTTTTGGCCATCAAGGAAAACGCTATATCTGGCGCAAACCCAACACCTCTCATTACCCCGAGAACACAATCCCCACAGTGAAGCATGGTGGTGGCAGCATCATGCTGTGGGGATGTTTTTCATCGGCTGGGACTGGGAAACTGGTCAGAATTGAAGGAATGATGGATGGCGCTAAATACAGGGAAATTCTTGAGGGAAACCTGTTTCAGTCTTCCAGAGATTTGAGACTGGGATGGAGGTTCACCTTCCAGCAGGACAATGACCCTAAGCATACTGCTAAAGCAACACTTGAGTTGTTTAAGGGGAAACATTTAAATGTCTTGAAATGGCCTAGTCAAAGCCCAGACCTCAATCCAATTGAGAATCTGTGGTATGACTTAAAGATTGCTGTACAACAGCGGAACCCATCCAACTTGAAGGAGCTGGAGCAGTTTTGCCTTGAAGAATGGGAAAAAATCCCAGTGGTTAGATGTGTCAAGCTTATAGAGACATACCCCAAGAGACTTGCAGCTGTAATTGCTGCAAAAGGTGGCTCTACAAAGTATTGACTTTGGGGGGGGGGGGGAGGTGAATAGTTATGCACGCTCAAGTTTTCTGTTTTTGTGTCTTATTTATTGTTTGTTTCACACAACAACAAAAACATTTTGCATCTTCAAAGTGGTAGGCATGTTGTGTAAAGCAAATGATACAAACCCTCAAAAAATCTATTTAAATTCCAGGTTGTAAGGCAACAAAATAGGAAAAATGCCAAGGGGGGTGAATACTTTTGCAAGCCACTGTATTAAAGGGAACATCATTTAGTATAACAGGCTTTTAAAATGCAATATTGGTGCACAACTTCTACTTCAAATATCAAAGGGACGCAAAAGGCACTCTTTTCGTGGAATGACCCACTCTCCTTTTTAAAAAGTAAACAGGCCCTAAAACTGTCCTATGCAAATCAGGTTTGATAAATCTGCACCATAGCGTTTAGCATTTACGAGTCGCTTTTGTGTCAATTACATTAAGAGGATCTGTAAATTAGCTTGCGTATCCACTTGAAGCTGTCAAGTTTATAACATGCTACAACTAGACTTCAATGTATTTCAGATGCTTGTGTGACATTTGGCACCAATAATGCCAGCAGCAATTGGACTGGTTCTCTCCTGAATTCATCATCTTCCGTTGTGGAGTTTTGGCAGTAAGTCTATAATAAATGCTGTGTTTTTTCACCAATACATCTTTCATGATTAGACGCTTGACTTCTTACATGAGAAATTAATCAGGTACCATGGTCTTGTTTTTTTAAAGGGAACTGTATCACAATGTTGAATTTATTCTTTTAAGAATACAATAAACTACAATAGACTACAACACATTTACATACAATACATGTTATTTTGGTGATCAAATGTATTGCGGTGTCAACCTTTTCTCCTTACAGGCGGCGAGTGCTGCGGATATCAGATGGGATTGAGTCATTGGGAGGTATTAGATGGGAGCTGGCTCTGTGTCTTCTACTGTCATGGATTCTCTGTTACTTCTGTGTCTGGAAAGGAGTGAAGTCTACTGGGAAGGTGAGGGTTATAAGATATAGTAGTTAGACAGTAGTTTCATAATCATGCATCATGCATCATTCCAATCTCAATCAATCTTAAAATCAGAGGTAAAAAATAAGAAAACAACCAAACAGAAAAAAGAGAGACGGTTATTTTCTGTAGCTGTAAAGTTACTTGGTGAGATAATGGGTCCATAGTTAGTGTGGTAATACTGGTATGCGTGGCTGTACTGTTTTTTTTTTGTATTGTACTAACCCTGTACTGCTAATTCATAGGCGGCATACTTCACGGCTACCTTCCCCTATGTCATGCTAGTGGTGCTATTTGTCAGAGGAGTGACCCTTCCAGGAGCTAAAGATGGCATCTTCTACTACTTGTATCCCAATGCGACACGGCTAGCTGATCCACAGGTATTATCTGTAGTATAAGTGTATGGGCCAGTTTCCCAGACACAGATTAAGCCTAGTCCTGGACTAAAAAGCTCATAGGAACAGCAGCCTACTGTATCTCCTGTCACTGTAGCGTGAGGCAGCTTGATGTACAAGTACACCCCCTGGACAGGATGTTAGTCTATCACAGGGCCTTACCACCAATCTATCTCCTCAAAGCTGAGTGCCAAGCAGAAACACATCAGGTCCCATTTTTACAGTCTTTGGTATGACACAGCCAGAGATCGAACTCCCAACCTTCCAATCTCAGGGAGGACACTCTAACCACAAGGCCATTGAGTCTTAGTCCAGGAGTATGCTTGATCTTTGTCCAAAAAAGTCCTTCTGTAGTCTCATCACATCTTACTGGTATACATTTCCGTTGTGACATGTTCAGTTTATGACTTCAGTTTAACTCTTCTTTGTCTGTTTGTTAATCACTAAGGTTTGGATGGATGCTGGAACACAGATATTCTATTCTTACGCTATATGCATGGGCTACCTGACCTCTCTTGGAAGCTACAACAAATACAACAACAACTGCTACAAGTGAGTCTTCAACTAGGCTGTGGGTTTGATAAAAAATGTGACACATTGTGGCACATTGAAGAAGTGCCATGAGGATTCATAGCCACAAGATTTCTTCAGTCAGTCTGGAGACAGTAAAAAGGCACATCTGTGTAGGCGAGGTGCTGGCTGGAGGAGTAGAACCCTTAGAAAAGAAAAGCTGCACAGTCTCATGGCTCTGATGCATTCATTCTAGTCACTTAATAACGTTTCGACAGCAACCTGTCTACATCAGGGTTTAATCTGGAAAACACTACAGGTCAAGATCTCTTCAGAGCATATAATGAAAGTTGGCTCATTCAGATACAGTACGCCAGGAGTCATGGCACAACATGTCATGTCACAACACTACCTCAATTTCCATGAATGTTAATGACCTGTATTTACATATTATTAGACCCTTGCCAATGACAACACTGCATGTTAAAGAGGATGACTATGTCGTGTTGAAAACTGTTGAAAACTGTTTTGTGCCTTGCAGAGACTCCTTCTACCTGTGCTTGTTGAACAGTGGGACCAGCTTCGTGTCTGGTTTTGCCATCTTCTCCATACTGGGTTATATGGCTCGAGAACAGGGTGTGGACATCTCTGTCGTTGCTGAGTCAGGTGAGGCTCTAAAGGGCATTCATCTACAAGGGTGTGACTCCCTATTATCCTCCTGATCAACCCAAATACTGTCTGACAACATACAGTTGAAGTCAGAAGTTTACATACACTTAGGTTGGAGTCATTAAAACTCGTCTTTTCAACCACTCCACAAATTTCTTGTTAACAAACTATAGTTTTGGCAAGTCGGTTAGGACATCTACTTTGTGCATGACACAAGTAATTTTTCCAACAATTGTTTACAGACAGATTATTTCACTTATAATTCACTGTATCACAATTCCAGTGGGTCAGAAGTTTACATACACTAAGTTGACTGTGCCTTTAAACAGTTTGGAAAATTCCAGAAAATGATGTCATGGCTTTAGAAGCTTCTGATAGGCTGTGGATATATTTCAAGGCCTGCCTTCAAATTCAGTGCCTCTTTGCTTGACATCATGGGAAAATCAAAAGAAATCAGCCAAGAATTGTAGACCTCCACAAGTCTGGTTCATCCTTGGGAAACGCCTGAAGGTACCACGTTCATCTGTACAAACAATAGTACGCAAGTATAAACACCATGGGACCACACAGCCGTCATAGCGCTCAGGAACGAGACGCGTTCTGTCTCTTAGAGATGAACGTACTTTGGTGCGAAAAGTGCAAATCAATCCCAGAACAACAGCAAAGGACCTTGTGAAGATGCTGGAGGAAACAGGTACAAAAGTATCTATATCCACAGTAAAACGAGTCCTATATCGACATAACCTGAAAGGCCGCTCAGCAAGGAAGCACTGCTCCAAAACCGCCATAAAAAAGCCAGACCACGGTTTGCAACTGCACATGGGGACAAAGCTCGTACTTGTTGGAGAAATGTCCTCTGGTCTGATGAAACAAAAATGGAACTGTAATAATGACCATCGTTATATTTGGAGGAAAAAGGTGGCTGCTTGCAAGCCGAAGAACACCATCCCAACCATGAGGGTAGTGCGTACGGCCCAGTACATCACTGGGGCCAAGCTTCCTGCCATCCAGGTCCTCTATACCAGGCAGTGTCAGAGGAAGGCCCTCAAAATTGTCAAAGACTCCAGCCACCCTAGTCATAGACTGTTCTCTCTGCTACCGCACGGCAAGCGGTACCGGAGTGCCAAGTCTAGGTCCAAAATACTTCTCAACAGCTTCTACCCCCAAGCCATAAGACTCCTGAACAGCTAATCATGGCTACCCGGACTATTTGCACTGCCCCTCCACCCCATCTTTTTACGCTGCTGCTACTCTGTTAATTATTTATGCATAGTCACTTTAACTTTACCCACATGTACATATTACTTCAACTACCTCAACTAGCCGGTGCCCCCGCACATTGACTCTGCACCGGTACCCCCCTGTATATATAGCCTCCCTACTGTTATTTTATTTTACTTCTGCTCTTTTTTTCTCAACACTTTTTTGTTGTTGTTTTATTTTACTTTTTTATTTAAAATAAATGCACTGTTGGTTAAGGGCTGTAAGTAAGCATTTCACTGTAATGTCTGCACCTGTTGTATTCGGCGCATGTGGCCAATAAAATTTGATTTGATTTGAAGCACGGGAGTGGCAGCCTCATGCTGTGGGGGTGCTTTGCTGCAGGAGGGACTGGTGCCCTTCACAAAATAGATGGCATCATGAGGAAGGAAAATTATGTGTATATATTGAAGCAACATCTCAAGACTTCAGTCAGGAAGTTAATGCTTGGTCGCAAATGGGTCTTCCAAATGGAATGACCCCAAGCATACTTCTAAAGTTGTGCCAAAATGGCTTAAGGACAACAAAGTCAAGGTATTGGAGTGGCCATCACAAAGCCCTGACCTCAATCATATAGAAAATGTGTGGGCAGAACTGAAAAAGCGTGTGCGAGCAAGGAGGCCTACAAACCTGACTCAGTTACACCAGCTCTGTCAGGAGGAATGGGCCAAATTTCACACAACATATCGTGGGAAGCTTGTGGAAGGCTACACAAAACGTTTGACTCAAGTTAAACAATTTAAAGGCAATGCTACCAAATACTAATTAAGTGTATGTAAACTTCTGACCCACTGGGAATGTGATGAAATGAATAAAAGCTGAAATAAATCATTCTCTCGACTATTATTCTGACATTTCACATTCTTAAAAATAAGTGGTGATCCTAACTGACCTAAGACAGGACATTTTTACTAGGATTAAATGTCAGGAATTGTGAAAAACTGAGTTTAAATGTATTTGGCTAAGGTGTATGTAAACTTCCAACTTCAACTGTAACTGCTCACTTTCCTCATCTGAACTTGATTTTGTCTACACCTTTATCTACTGTGTCTGGTAAAAGCACTGGCTGTGTCCGAAATACTGTATGTCTTGCCTACTACTTACTAAAATGAATATTTAGAACGTACTGTTTAGTAAAAACGAATGCAGTAACCAACAAATATCAACATACTACTGAGAATGCGGCATTTAATGCGCAATTGCGTTGATTCCTGCCATTCGTTCATTTTGGTACAGCGCGTCCCCTCAGCTGATTGTCAGCTGTTGTCAAACACACGTAGGTCTCGAAAGACGATTCTCTTCCACAATAGTGTGCAGCAAATTCTACTAGATGAAAAGCCTAAATGAGTATGACATCCTGGCATTTAAAGCATACTTTCTTTTTAAACGTCACATATATAAAACGTTATATTTTCGCATACCCAAAATGCCTACTATTTAGAATGCAAGTACGGGTATTCGGACACAGCCACTGTCTCACATCATAGAATCTTCAACTTTTTTGACATACTATTACACATAACTGAATGACATACACATAACTGAACTGACATACTAAAATGATAACTGAATGTTTCGTTCAATTAATTCAATCAAATTGCATTTGGGTACATATATTCTATAACTTTTTCCTTGTTGCCCTGCTGCAGGTCCTGGCCTGGTGTTCATAGTGTACCCCCAGGCAGTGTCCCTCCTCCCCTGCCCTCAGTTCTGGGCTGTCTGTTTCTTCACCATGATCATCCTATTGGGAGTGGATGGCCAGGTTAGAGCTCACCTCCACCAAAACCTCCACCTGGGTGTCCTGTCCCTGCTGTTCTTTCCTCTACCTTCCTCTCCCATGTACAGTACATTGTCCTCTCTCATGTTCCCCAGTTTGTCGGCCTTGAGAGCCTAATGACCTCAGTAACGGACATCTACCCACACGTCATCAGAAAGGGCTACAGGAGGGAGCTGATTCTGCTGCTCATCTGCTGCTGCTGCTACCTGGTCGGACTCATCATGGTCACAGAGGTGAGAGGTCACAGACGCAGGTCTCCACTGCACACCAGCTGTCAGACTAGTTGTTGTTATTGCTGTTGTTGTTGTGTGACTACAGGTAGAGGTGGTTCTCTGATATCTGAACATATAATATCAGGAACATAAATTGAAGCGCCTTAGTGAGGTAAGTTAAATAACTTCTAAACAATGGCAATTAAAGGGTTGATCTGGGCAGCACTTTTTGATCCAAGTCCTTTATGGTTTTGCATAACATTAACCCCAGCACAAGGTGCACCTGTGTAATGATCATACTGTTTAATCAGCTTCTTGATATACTTCTTGATATACCACACCTGTCACGTGGATGGATTATCTTGGCAAAGGTGAAGTGCTCACTAACAGCGATGTAAACAAAATTTGAGAGAAATAAGCTTTTTGTGCGTATGGAAAATGTCTGAGATCTTTTATTTCAGCTCATGAAACATGGGACCAACTCTTTAAATGTTGCGTTTATCTTTTTGTTCAGTACATAAGTAAAATAAAGCTTCAATATACAGTACAATCAATGTTTACAGATCTACAGTGCATTCGGAAAGTATTCAGCCCCTTGACTTTTTCCACATTTTGTTACGTTACAGCCTTATTCTAAAATCGATTAAATTGTTTTTTCCCACCTCTTACATCTACACACAATACCCCATAATGACAAAGCAAAAACAGGTTTTTAAACATTTTTGCACATTTATAAAAAAAAAAGATATATATTGATATCACATTTACATAAGTATTCAGACCCTTTACTCAGTACTTTGTTGAAGCACATTTGGCAGCAATTACAGCCTCAAGTCTTCTTGGGTATGACGCTACAAGCTTGGCACACCTGTATTTGGGGAGTTTCTCCCATTCTTATCTGCAGATCCTCTCAAGCCCTGTCAGGTTGGATGGGGAGCGTCGCTGCACAGCTATTTTCAGGTCTCTCCAGAGATGTTAGATCGGGTTCAAGTCCGGGCTCTGGCTGGGCCACTCAAGGACATTCAGAGACTTGTCCCGAAGCCACTCCTACATTGTCTTGGCTGTGTGCTTAGGGCCGTTGTCTTGTTGGAAGGTGAACCTTCGCCCCAGTCTGAGATCCTGAGTGCTCTGGAGTAGGTTTTCATCAAGGATCTCTCTGTACTTTGCTCCGTTCATCTTTCCCTCGATCCTGATGCTGCCACCACCATGCTTCACCGTAGAGATGGTGCCAGGTTTCCTCCAGGCGTGATGCTTGGCATTCAGGCCAAAGAGTTCAATCTTGGTTTCATCAGACCACAGAATCTTGTTTCTCATGGTCTGAGAGTCCTTTAAGTGCTTTTTGGCAAACTCCAAGAGGGCTGTCATGTGCCTTTTACTGAGGAGTGGCTTCCGTCTGGCCACTATACCATAAAGGTCTGATTGGTGGAGTGCTGCAAAGATGGTTGTCCTTCTGGAAGGTTCTCCCATCTCCACAGAGGAACACTGGAGCTCTGTCAGAGTGACCATTGGGTTCTTGGTCACCTCCCCGACCAAGACCCTTCTCCCCCAATTGCTCAGCTTGGCTGGGCGGCCAGCCCTAGGAAGAGTCTTGGTGGTTCCAAACTTCTTCTGTTTAAGAATAATGGAGGCCACTGTGTTCTTGGGGACCTTCAATGCTGCAGACATTTTTTGGTTCCCTTTCCCAGATCTGTGCCTCGACACAATCCTGTCTCGGAGGTCTACGGACAATTCCTTCGACCTCATGGCTGTCAACTGTGGGACCTTATATAGACAGGTGTGTGCCTTTCCAAATCATGTCCAATCAATTGAATTTACCACAGGTGGACTCCAATCAAGTTGTAGAAACGTCTTTAGGATGATAAAATTAAACAGGATGCACCTGAGCTCAATTTCGAGTCTCATAGCAAAGAGTCTGAATACCTATGTAAATAAGGTATTTCTGTTTTTTATTTTGAATAAATTTGCACACACCAAAAAAAATGTTTTCACTCTGTCATTATGGTGTGTAGATTGATGAGGAAAAACATTTATTTAATCAATTTTAGAATAAGGCTGTAACGTTAACAAAATGTGGAAAAAGTCAATGGGTCTGAATACTTTCTGAATGCACTGTAAATCTGTAAACATTGATATTGAAGCTTTATTGTTTTCGCAGGGTGGCCTCTACATCATCCAGCTGTTTGATCATTATGTGTGCAGTGGTGCCACTCTGCTGCTCCTCTCCATATGCCAGTCACTCAGTATTGGATGGATATATGGTAAGAATAGAGAAATTACACTATCATGGGCAAACACATACATATGCAAAGCTAGCTTCCTCGTCAGATTTTCTCTCACTATAAAAATGTAAAGTAATTGAAAGTCCTTAAAGGGACTGTTCATTGAAAGTCTTTAAAGGGACATGAGTACCCACTGGGCACACACTGGTTGAATCAATGTTGTTTCAATGTCATTTGTTAACCTATTGTGACATGGAATCAACGTGGAAAATACATTGGATTTACATTTTTTTATAAACCAGTACTGTTTTCATCTAATTTCAACCAGTGTTGTAAACATTTAAATTATGGTAAAACTTCAACTTACATACTGTACATGGACATAACCTGACTAACAGGTTCTTACATCAATCTAATTTCAACATAATCAACAGAACTATGTATAAGTTGAAATTGCGTTGAAAATTCCACGTAAGTATTTTTCAGGTCTTGTGAGCGGAAATTTTAATATTGTGAGAATTCTGTGCAACTTCCGGCTTGCGTTTACAGTGAAAACTGAGGCTGTGTCAAGGTGACGTGTATGTGGGAAACGAAGTCAAGCGCAGGACACCGAACTACTGGCAGAACGTACTTTACTTAACACAGTAAAGAAAGTACAAAACAAACCTCCAAACAGGGAGGAACAAATAACGCATACAACCAGCACTGCCGACCTAACGGAAAACAATCACACACAATAACCAATGAGAGACAGGGGTTTATAAAGGGAATACAATATAACATAATGGGAAACAGGTGCAAACAATCAGGACAAACTAGACAAACACCGAAACATAGATCGGTGGCAGCTAGTACTCCGGGGACGACGAACGCCGAAGCCTGCCCGAGCAAGGAGGAGGGGCAGCCCCGGCTGATTCCGTAACAGGCTGTACCCGCTTTAAGTTACCGCTTTAGACCGTAGCCAATAGGCTATTGTGGCTATTTGAGCATAATGTAGGTCTATCAGAGTGGCCTACCAACAAAACCAATGGAATAAATCCTATATCATTTTCACATGGAAATAGCTTTTCATTTCTATGATATAGCCTACAGTAGCCTATGTGGTGTTCAATGCAGCCTACAGTCCATCATCATCGCTTTTAAAAACTTTTTTAGATTATGCAGGGCTTGACATTAATTTATGATTTTTTACTTGGTCTGTAACATCATGGGCCAAGTAGGTGACTGTACATTTCATTGTATTGTGTTGCATGATGCAAGAAACCACTTTACAAAATAAAGTTAATTATTATTACCATACAGAGAACTAGACAATGTAGGCTACCCTCTGCCTATTGGCTTATTTGCATATTCATATTTGCATATCCTGTCTCAAAATACAACATTGTTCCTTTAATATATGTATGAAAATGTATGCACTCACTAACTGTAAGTCGCTCTGGATAAGAGCATCTGCTAAATGACTAAAATGTAAATGTAATATAAATAGACTCGCTTTTCAAAAACAGTTTGAAATGTACATGTTTTGTGCTCTTGTAGGAAGAAGTAATTCCCCCATTGCTGACCAATACTTACCTATAACTGGGCTAATAACTCGCTAACTAGCAAAGAAAGTCAACAAATATCACAGACTCAAACTTGCAAAGTTAAATTTGGTTTGGTTTGTTGCATTGAAAAGGGGCTGATACTATGTTGATTAGATCACATTAGAGAAAACTTTGATCTATAGTGCAAGCTAATGGGGCGAACTGTGAAGTTCAATCTCGTGCGTCTGGCATTTCTTCTGCGCGGCAGTCCTGGAGGAGGTGTGCGGCCGCTTAGAGGGAACATTGATTGGGTGGTTGAAATTACACTGATATGTTGTTGGTTACAATGCAATTACACTGATATGTTATTGGTTACAAGGAAATTACACTGATATACTACATGACCAAAAGTATGTGGACACCTGCTCGTCGAACATCGCATTCCAAAATCATGGGCATTGATACGGAGATGGTCCCCCCTTTGCTGCTATAACAGCCTCCACTCTTCTGGGAAGGCTTTCCACTAGATGTTGGAACATTGCTGCAGGGACTTGCTTCTATTCAGCCAGAAGAGCATTAGTGAGGTCGTGCACTGATGTTGGGTGATTAGGGCTGGCTCGCAGTCTGCGTTCCAATTCATCCCAAAGGTGTTCGATGGGGTTGAGGTCAGAGCTCTGTGCAGGCCAGTCAAGTTCTTCCATACCGATCTCGACAAACCATTTCTGTATGGACCTCGCTTTGTGCACAGGGGCATTGACATGCTGAAACAGGAAAGGGCCTTCCCCAAACTGTTGCCACAAAGTTGGAAGCAAAGAATCGTCTAGAATGTCATTGTATGCTGTAGTGTTAAGATTTCCCTTCACTGGAACTAAGAGCCCTAGCCCGAACCATGAAAAACAGCCCCAGACCATTATTCCTCCACCAACTGTTACAGTTGTCACTATGCATTGGGGCAGGTAGCGTTCTCCTGGCATCTGCCAAACCCAGATTCGTCCGTTGGACTGCCAGATGGTGAAGTGTGATTCATCACTCCAGAGAACGCGTTTCCACTGCTCCAGAGTCCAATGGCGGCGAGCTTTACACCATTCTAGTCGACGCTTGGCATTGCGCATGGTGATCTTAGGTTTGTGTGCGGCTGCTCGGCCATGGAAACCCATTTCATGAAGCTCCCAACTAACAGTTATTGTGCTGACGTTGCTTCCAGAGGCAGTTTGGAACTTGGTAGTGAGTGCTGCAACCGAGGACAGACGATTTCTACGCACTACGTGCTTCAGCACTCGGCGATCCCGTTCTGTGAACTTGTGTGGCCTACCACTTCGCGGCTGAGCCATTGTTGCTCCTAGACGTTTCCACTTCACAATAACAGCACTTACAGCAGCTCTAGCAGGGCAGAAATTTGACGAACTGACTTGTTGACCACCATTTGCCTCATGCAGCGCGACACATCTCCTTCGCATAGAGTTGATCAGGCTGTTTATTGTGGCCTGTGGAATGTTGTCCCACTCCTCTTCAATGGCTGTGCGAAGTTGCTGGATATTGGAGGGAACTGGAACCCGCTGTCATACACGTCTATCCAGAGCATCCCAAATATGCTCAATGGGTGACATGTCTGTTGAGTATGCAAACCATGGAAGAACTGGGACATTTTCAGCTTCCAGGAATTGTGTACCAATCCATGCAACATGGGGCCGTGCATTATCATGCTGAAAAATGAGGTGATGGCGGCGGATGAATGGCACAACAATGGGCCTCAGGATCTCATCACGGTATCTCTGTGCATTCAAATTGCCATCGATAAAATGCAATTGTGTTCATTGTCCGTAGCATATGCCTCCCATACCATAACTCCACTGCCACCATGGGGCACTCTGTTCACAACGTTGACATCAGCAAACCACTCACCCACACGACGCCATCTGCCTGGTACAGTTGAAACCGGATTTCATCCATGAAGAGCACACTTCTCCAGTGTGCCAGTGGCCATCGAAGGTGAGTATTTGCCCACTGAAGTCAGTTTTGATGCCTAACTGCAGTCAGGTAAAGACCCTGGTGAGGACAACGAGCATGCAGATGAGCTTCCCTGAGACGGTTTCCGACAGTTTGTGCAGAAATGTATTGGTTGTGCAAACCCACAGTTTCATCAGCTGTCCGTGTGGCTGGTCTCAGACGATCCCACAGGGGAAGAAGCCGGATGTGGAGGTCCTGGGTTGGCGTGGTTACACGTGGTATGCGGATGTGAGGCCGGTTGGACGTACTGCCAAATTCTGTAAAATGACGATGGAAGCGGCTTATGGTAAAGAAATTAACATGAAATTCTCTGGCAAAAGCTCTGGTGGACATTCCTGCAGTCAGCATGCCAATTGTACACTCCCCCAAAACTTGAGACATCTGTGGTATTGTGTTGTTTAACAAAACGGCACATTTTAGAGTGGCCTTTTATTGTCTCCAGCACCTGTGTAATGATCATGCTGTTTAATTCAGTTTCTTGATATGCCACACATGTCAGGTGGATGGATATCTTGGCAAAGGAGAAATACTCACTGACAGGGATGTAAACATGTATTTCTTTTCAGCTCATGGAACATGGGACCAACATTACATGTTGCGTTTTAATTTTTTTGTTCAGTGTATGCTGATTTTGAGATTTGATTAGACATATTTTATTTGACCTTATTTCAATGTTGATAGTAAAATGGTTTGTTTGAATCAACGTCATTCTTTCAACGTGATGCTATCAACCTAAATAAAGAGGTATATTGAAATAAAATGTGAAGCCACAGTCCAATGCCTGAACAGTGACTCCTACTTGTATATGAGGGGTAATGTGGTAACGAGGTGGTAAGAGTAGGCAAAAACACCTTCGCCACGCTGACCCTCAACACGGCGGCCCCCCAGGGGTGTGTGCTTAGCCCCCTCCTGTACTTCCGGTTCACCCACAACTGTGTGGCCATGCACGACTCCAACTCAATCATTATCAAGTTTGCTGAAGGTGTGACGGTGGTAGGCCTGATCACCAACGGCAATGAGACAGTCTACAGGGAGGAGGTCAGAGACCTGGCAGTGCGGTGCCAGGATAACAACCTATCCCTCAACGTCAGCAAGACCAAGGAGCTGATTGTGGATTACAGGAAACAGGGGCAGGTGCACACCCCCATCCACATCGACAGGGCCGCAGTGGAGAGGGTCATGAGCTTCAAGTTCCTCTGTGTACACATCACTGTCCTCTCACACCAGCACAGTTGTGAAGAAGACACGGCAGTGCCTCTTCTCCCTCAGGAGGCTGAAACGATTTGGCATGGCCCCTCAGATCCGTAGGAACTTTACAGCTGCACCATTGAGAACATCCTGACTCGTTGTATCACCGTCTGGTATCACAACTGCACCTCCCTCGACCAGAAGGCCCTACAGAGAGTGGTGCGTATGGCCCAGGTTATCACTGGGGGTGAGCTCCCAGCCATCCAGGACTTACATGCCAGGCAGTGTCTGAGAAAGACCTGAAAAATTGCCAAAG